CCGGGGTACCGTAGGCAAACAGACCTTTGCTTTGGTGTCCGTGAGTCAGGGCCGTTCTCCATTCCAAGTGCCAGGAACCCAATCAAACTGGTTTAAGCAAAGAGGCCTTACTGGTTCTGGACCTGAAAAGCCGTTGGGCGACTCTCAGCCGTTTTCCCCAGAGTCGTCCTCTACCCCACCAGGGCGGGAGGCCTGCCAGAAGTCCTGGGCTCACGGTCCAGCCTCACGGCAACCCCAGGGGAAAGAGGTTCTCCTCTCTCTTTGGCTCCTGCCAGCTCACACCGCACTGCTCGCTGTGGTCAGCAGGATTCCGAGCTCTGACTGGGCAGGCTGGGGGTGAGGGGGAAGAGCGGGTGGGGTGGGACATCCGAGGGCCATCCAAATGGCCTAGACGCCGAGCCGGGAGGTGTGGACAGCTGCCCACTCCCACTTCTCTTCAGCTGCTCCAGCAACTAGAAACGACAGGGGAAGCCCATTGTTGGCCCTGCAGACCGCTGCTGGGAAAAGAGCCTGCAAAGCACTTAGCTTCGCGTTCCAGTAAGTGGGTGACCCCTAAGTGCGGTGCCCAGCCTCGTAACTGCCCTCAGTGGAGTCCCGCAAGCGTGGCGTCACCGCCGGCTGCTCGCAGCCCTGCGACGGGAGATGGCACGTAAGAGACGTCACCCGTGTGGTCTGCGCGTGCTCGCCTGTCACAGCCAAGTCTGAATCAGCGGCTGACGTGGAGAAAAGCCGGCCCCGCCTGGTGGCAGGCAGCAGGGCCAAGCTGTGGACTCTTCCGCTCCAGCCTGTCCTGCTGATGCCTTTCGAGGGCCCTTTCTGGTGGGGCCCAGAATGCAGCAGCAGGTCAGGTGTGGATGGCATAGCTGTCACTCTCGGCACCTATTGACGCCGGGCCCTGGGAGAAGCAAGCCGGCTCAGCAGGTGGATAAACTGGATTTGCAGCAGCAGTGATGGTGGGGAGGGCGAAGTGGAACTTTGGGGGGCCTCTTGGAGCAGAGGAGTGGGTTGACACTCCCGACATGCTTTCTCTCGCCTGGTAACCCAGAGCCAAGTTCTTTGACCTTTCTGTGCCCCCTTTTAGTTACGAGTCAAATAAGGCTTTTGCATCTGCCACTCCTTCTAGCGGGTCCCCCTCTTCCAGGCTCCAGAGGACATGCCCTTGACTCCTATGCTGTGAGCATTTCTATATCCCGGGAGTTGTTTCCCTTCTTTATCGCGCTCCAGGTAGGGCGTTTTTCAAGGATGGGGACTTTGTTTGGACCACAGGTACGCTAGCACAGCCCCTGGCCCAGAGCAGGTACTCAGTAAATGTTTGTGGAATGAATGAAGAAGTGACTCAAGGGGAAGAGTGTGCACCGGATCTTGTCCTGCAGGGGTTAGGAGGCCCTGAAAAGGTTTTAAAATAGGGTCCTGGTGACCCAGGCTAAGGCATCCCTTCTCCAAGGCACGTTTTGTGCCTCCTTTGATGGGCATGCTCTGTGTGGGCCAGACCCTTGCCGGACCTAAGGGTCAGGAGCCAGGTGAGCCCCAGTCTGTGCCCTCTTCAGTCTTTAGAGCCTGGGGTTCCAGACGGGAGTCCCACGGTACCCTTGTAGGAAGGGAATGTAAAGCCACAGGTGGGGAGGGAGACAGAGCCCCACCACCGTGTCTGCGCTTGGGTGGACGCTCTGTGACCCAGTTTCCACGGCCGGACTAGCCCTCCTCGGCCAGTCTGGGTGGGCTCTGACATGCTGGCACGGCACAGGTTAATTTCTCTGGCACGCTGGCATCCATCATAGGTTGGCCAGGGGCTCTGTTCATCAAGTCTCTCAGGGACAAGACAGCGGGGGTGTCCTTCCCGGTTCCCTGTGGCAAGAGAAGGCGCCATCGCCATAAGGGATCATGCAGCTCCCATAGGAAGAGCATTGGCCAAAGCATGTCACGTGGTCCCCTAACTGCCACAAGGGGAGGTGGGAGGGCAGCACTCATGACTCATCCCGCCTGTGCCCCTTCACCCAGCAGGTCACTGTGTGTGACGCCTAGCAAGATCTGTGGGCACACGCCCTTCCAGTCAGCATGGAACAGTGTGAGGGAGCAGGTGGATCCAGGACCACCGCCTGGCAGGGCCCCCAGGAGCACGCTGGGGGCCTCACTGCACTGCCAGGGAGGGTGGGGCCAGCACAGTCCTGACAGGCAGGGGACTCACAGCAGCAGGTACCCAGTGCACTGGCCACGTGCTGTCAAGGAAGTTGCTGCAGGCCCAGCCCCTCCAGAGGCTTCCTTGGATAGCCACATTCATCCTGACCCTGGAGCTCCCAGCCTGGCCCGCACTCCCCACCCCGGCTCCCTTCCATGCCTTCTGCCACCACATCTTCCCTCTCAGTTGCTCAGCGAGCTCCTGGTCCCTGCGCAAGGCCCAGTCAGATTCCTTCCTACTGCGACATTACTGTGAAACCTGCCAGGTAGAATCAGTCCCTCCCACATTTGGTTCAGACTGGGAGCTGGGGCCGTTGGGTTCAAAGTCAGATCCACCAGCGAATATTGTCATCTCTACCCTTGAGCTGTGTCTGAACACTGGCGGCTCTCTCCACCTCCTGCACTGTAGTCTGGATGCCTGTGGGAGCCTCCTCACTGGGCTCCCACTTTGGACCTAGCCTGGCTCTTTACAGAGCAGACAGCGGGAGCTTCTCAAGCATGGACATCAGATCCCATCATTGCCCTATTCTTAATATACTGGGGCTTCTCACCCCACTCAGAGGAAAACCAGATTCCCCCTGTGGCCTGCACAGTGCTGTGGGGTCTGGCCCACCCTCCGTGCTGCTCTTCTGCCCCTCCCCTCACGCCCCCACTCTCAGCCACCCTCAAGCAGCTTCCTGGTCCTCAATCCTGCAAAACCCATGGCTGCCTCAGGGCCTTTGCATGCACTATTGCCTCCACCTAGGAAGCTCCTTAATAACTTAGGTGCCCAATGTCACCTGCTCAGAGAAGTCCTCTGATTCACCCGCAGGAGACCTTCCCTACACCCTCCTGCCATCATTCTGTCCCTTTGTCCTTGAGACCAAGGGTTAGAGCCTGCCTTTGTGCTAGGCATTCATTCATGACCAGCCCTGTACACTGCTATCATCCTGAGCTGGGCCTAGTGAAAAGTAGACTCTCTGTCCTTAATCTTTGAAGAATCCGCATTCCCCTGGCCCCTTGTAAGACTCTCCCTCCAGAGTGCCTTCTGCTTTCCCTCTGCATTCTGCTCCTCCCCGGGTAGAGGAGACCAAATCTTGGAAGTCTGACATGCTGTGTGATGTTGGCAGGCTGGGCCTGGATCTGGGCCCCATATTGGGGATTCAGGGGAGGGACCAGGCAGGCCCCAGGGTGGGTGGCTGATGCAGGGTGCCTGAGCGAGGAGGTCCAGCCCAGCTCTCCAGTCATTGCCACACAGGAGCACAGGCCCAGGAGTGCCAGACGGCCTGATTTTTCAAGAGAAGCCAGAAATCTGGATTCTGTGTTGAGCTCTCCCAATTTCTAAATGCTGGCGACTAACTAGAATTCTTTCCGCTAATGTCGCATGAGCTAAAGAAAGCCCATCTGCGGGCTTGCCGCGGTGACCCCTTGCCACAGGGCTGGGGTCCTGTAGGGGCTGGCGTGGAGCAGGGCTGTGAGGGAGCATGGCCTGCCCTGACCACAGCATGAGCAGCTGAGTGGCTGGGGAGGCCTGGGACGGGAGCAGTTCTAGGTTGGATACACCAGAGTCATGGGGAGGAATGGGGTATGTGGCAGGGGGTGGAGGTGGGGTCCCACCAGGGGTGGGGGAGCAATGCTACTCTGTCACCACTTCTGTGCTGGGCCCAGCTGGCCAGCAGCTGCTCCCTGCCAAAACTCCTGAAGGCGATGTTAGGGTGTGTGGTCATCCTGGGGTAAAAATAGCAAGGTCACCTTGCAGCAGGAAGTTTGCTTTCGCTGGCAGGTGGAAATACAGTATCTGCCGGACGCTGCCGTCAGCCAGGAGCTGCATGGTTTACGGGGACAGGTGGACACTGGCTCTCACCTTCCAGGCTCCTGGGGGACAGCAGTACACGGATCTCTACCTGCTGGAGCAAGGGAGGGGACGGCTCCCAGTTAGCGGGTAGCCCTGCTGACCTCACCCCTGCACGGTGCCAGGTACACCACAGCGGTTCCACAGCTCCTCGGGCCCGTCTGAGGCTCGGGGGTTGTCAGAGGACACCTGCTTTCCGAGGGTCACACATGCGGCCCCGTCACACCACCCTGTGAGGTCAGCCAAGCCTGTCCTGGGCCTCCTGCCCAGCCCCTGAGGGGGCTCCCTCCACCACAGCCCACCAGGGCCCCATGGCTCCCAGTGCAGGTGGACACACTCAGCCCTGCAGGGCCAGCCCAGCCCTTCCCGGAAACTCCCTTTGCCCAGGAGGGGTCAATGCTGCACCTTTGCTTTCTCTCCCATAAGTTGGAGCTAGTCACGAGAACCTTCCACGGTGCTTACCGCACAGATCATTCCAGACACCTGACTCTGTTCAAACTCAGGAAGTCTTTACAAGGGTGGTTGAGGCCCCTGGTGAGGTGACAGGGCTGTCAGTCTCCTAAACAGCCCAGGTTACAAGAGTACCGACCGGCAGGGGGAGTGTGAGAAGTAAGTTAATATGTGTAGGTGCTTGGACATCGGTGTTCAGAGTAAGTGCTCAGCGCCTATTAGAGACTGTTTACTCTCGGTGGGTGGAGGGCAGGCCAGCATATGCTGGGCAGGGGGTTCCAGTCTGCCTGGCTGTGAAGTACAGGGCAGTGCAGAGTGGTAGGGGGGTGGGGAGGGTCCCTGCTCCAGCACCCGTGCCCACACTCCTGCCAGTGGCCCAGTCCCAGCCCACGCCCGGTGCACAGTCTGGGCACTCCCAGGTTCCCCCATATTGCGGGCTCCGGGCGGAACAGGATAGGGCACTTAGGGTACCCAAGGAGGAGAGAGGCAAGCCAGGAGGGGCTGGGACACCCAGGGCTAAGCCTTTCTCTCATCCCATCCCCAGGAAGCCTGAGAAGGGCGTCCAGTACCTCATCGAACGTGGCTTTGTGCCTGACACGCCAGTGGGGGTGGCCCACTTCCTGCTGCAGCGCAAGGGCCTCAGCAGGCAGATGATCGGCGAGTTCCTGGGCAACCGACAGAAACAGTTCAACCGAGATGTGCTGGAGTGAGTGCCACGGCTGGGGGGGGGGGGGGGGGGGG